AATAAAAAAATTGGTACATCACAAAAACGAGAAATTGAAAAATTGGAAAATCGAAAAGTTGAAAGATCGAAAAACCGAGAAATCGGAAAATTAAAATTTGACTAGTAAGTCTCTAAATTTAAATATCAAAAATTGAAAAATCCAAAAAGCCAAGAAGTCGAAAAATCCAAAGATCGACACATCAAATCATTGAAAAATTTAAAATAAAAATTAGAACAATTGACAAATAAAAAGAACTGAAAAATTAAAAAATCCCAAATCTAAAACATGAAAAGCCGAAATTATTTCTTTATTTTATTATTTAATTATTTAAAAAATGTCGATGAATTGAAAAGTCGAAAAATTGAGAAATTAAATAAATAATAAAAAATTGATTAATCGTGAAATCGAAAACTTAAGGACGCCAAAAAATAAAAAATAAAAAAACTTTAAATTAGAAAAATTGAAGAATAAAAAAAATGAAAAATTGGAACATTGAGAAATCGAAAAACTGAAAATCGAGAAATTGAAGAACTGAAAAACTGAGAAATTGAAGAATTAGAAAACTAAAAAGACCCCAAAACTGAAAAAATTAATTTAAAAACTTGAAAAACTGAAAATCAGACCTGAGAAATCGAGAAAATGAAAAATTGGATCATCGAAAAATTAAAAAATTGAAAAACTAAAAACCGAAAGATCGGGCAATCGAAACATCAAAAAATGGAAAAACCTAAAATTTAAAAATACGAGAAATTAAAATATCTAAAACTTGAAAAAAAAACGTAAGTTGAAAAATTCCCAAAATTGAAATGTCGAAAAATTGAGAAATCTAAACGTGAAAAATCAAGAAATCTGTAAATCGAAAAATTTATAGTTTAAAAAGTCGAAAAATTTAAAATAGAAAAGTATAAAATTTTAAAAAATCGAAATATTGAAAAATTACAAAACTGAAATAAGATAAACTGAAAAATCCCAAAACTAAAACATTGAAAAATTTACAAATTGAAAACTCGAAAAATTAAAAAAATTTAAAATCTAAAACAGAGAAGTCGAAAAATCAAAAAAATGACACTTCACAGATTGAAAAATGAGAAAAATTGACAAATAAAAAACTGGAAGAGCGGAAAACTCTAGAAATCGACAAATTTTAAATTTAAAAACTCGAAAAATTTAATATCGAAAACTCTAAAATTAAAAAAATCGAAAAATTGAAAAATCCCAAAACTGAAATGTCGATAAACCGAAAAATCTCAAAACTAAAACGTTGAACAATTGAGAAATCGAAAAGTTGAAAAATGAAAAATTTAAAAACTCGAAAAATTATAAAATTAAACCACAGGAATTGAAAAATAGAAAAATTGAAAAATTGTAACATCGAAAAACGTAAAATTTAAGAAATCGAAAAACTGAAAAACCCAAAAAGTGAAAAATCAGAAAAACAAGAAATCCAGAAATTAAAAACTCCCCAAACTGAATTCTGAAAATTTGAAAAATAAAAAAATTAAATAATCGAAATATCGAAAAATTGGATAATTGAAAAGCCCAGAAATCGAAAAATCGAAAACATTTAATCAAGAAGTTGAAATGTCGAGAGACAAATCGAAACATGAAAAAATCGAGAAATCGAAAAATTGAAAAACCGAAAGAAAAGTTAAAAAATTTTAAATAAAAAAAAATTAAAATCTATAAACCGAGAAGTCGAAAAATCAAAAGAGTGACACATCAAAGAATTGGAAAATTTAAAAATTAGAAAAATGAAAAAATAAAAAATCAAAGAACTAAAAAATCTAGAAATCGAAACATCTAAATTCTAAAAAGTCGAAAAATATAAAATCGAAAAGTCTAAAATTTAGAAAATCGAAATATTGTAAAATCTCAAAACTGAGATATCGATAAACTGAAAAATCTCAAAACTAAAGCATTTAAAAATTGAAAAATCGAGAAGTCGAAAAATGGAAAATTTGAAAACTCGAAAATTTAAAAAATCAAACCTCAGAAATAGAAAAATTGAAAAACTGAGAAATCGAGAAATCGAACCTCAAAAAGTTTAAAATCGATGAATTTTAAAGTCGATTAATGGAAAAATAGAAAAAACTAGGGAACGCCAAAGTTTGAAAAATTGAAAAAACGAAAATTTTAAAAATCGGAAAACTGAAGAATCGCAAAAATAAAAAGCTGAAAAAAGTAAAAATTAAAGTTTGAAAAGTTCTCAAAATTGAAATGTAAAATTGAGAAATCGAAAAATCGAAATGCCGAAACATTTTAAAAATTGAAATATCTAAATATTTAAAAATCGGAAAATCGAAGCATAAATAATAAATTGTAAATTCGGGAAGTTGAAAAACTGAAAAATCAAAAAAATGAAAAATCGAGAAATCGAAAAATTCTCAAATGCGGTACTCGAAAAGTTGAAAAGTCGAAAAATTAAAGAACTGAAAAGCCGAAAAGTCGAATAATATAAAACGGAGAAGTTGAAAAATTGAAAATCGAAAAAATGAAAAATTAAAACATTGAAAAATCGATAGATCGAAAAGTCTAAAAATGGAAAATTTAAAACTCAAAAAATTTTAAAAATCAAGGTTTTCAGAAATTGAAAAATTGGAACATCGAAAAATTGAAAATTTGAAAAACTGAAAAATCGGGAAATTGAGAAATGGGAAAATCAAAAAATCGATTAATTGAAAAGTCGAAAAATCAATTAATCGAAAAATCGAAAACCTAGGGACACCAAAAATTGAAAAATCTAAAATTTAGAATCACAAAAATTGAAGAATAAAAATAAATAATCGAAAAATCGCAAAACTGAAATATCAGAAAATTGAGAAATCAAAAAATTGAAAATCCAGAAATTGAAAAATTGAGTAACCGAAAAATTGAAAACTCGAAAATTAAAAAATCTCAAAACTGAAATATGAAAAACTTGAAAATGCTCAAAACTAAAACATTCAAAATTTGAGAAATCGAAAAATTGCAAATTTAAAAACTAGGAAAATTGCAAAATCAAACCTGAGAAATCGAAAAATTGAAAAATAGGAACTTCGAAAAATTAAAAACTTAAAAAAACTGAAAAATCGTGAAATTGAGAAGTCGAGAAATCGAACATCCAAAAGTCGAGAAATGAGAAAATAAAAAATCGATGAACTGAAAAATCGAAAAATCGATTAATCCAGAAATAGAAAAATAGAAAACTTACGAAACCAAATTTTGAAAAATTGAAACACAAACATTTTAAAAATTGAAAAATTGATGAATCACGAAAATGAAAAATCACAAAACTGAAATATCGGAAAATTAAGAAATTGAAAAATCGAAAAATTGAAGAATCAAAAACTAAAAAATCCCAAAACTTAAATATGGAAAAATCCAAAAAGCCCAAAACTGAAACATTCAAAAACTGAGAAATCCAAACATCGCGAATTTAAAAACTCGAAAAATTGAATAACTGAAGAATCGAGAAGTCGAGAAATCGATTAACCGAGAAATAGAAAAATGAAAAACGTAAGAATGCCAAAATTTGAAAAATTGGTACACAAAAATTTTAAAAATTGGAAAATTGAAAAATTGGGAAAATTAAAAACCGAAAAATCAAAACTTTTAAAAATCGAAAACCTGATCTTTCTCTGGAAAATAGAAAACTTGAAAAATCGAGAACTTGAAAAACCCTCAAAATCAATACTCAAAAAATTGAAAAACCGAAAAATTGAATAACTGAAAAGTCGAATAGTCGAATTATAGAAAACCGACAAACTGAAAAATTGAAAATCGAACAATTGAAAAATTCAAAAATTATAAACCGAAGAACTGAAACTTGAAAAATTTTAAAAATGAAAAAATGGGAAAACCAGAAACCCAGAAGTCGAGAAATCAACAGATCGACACATTAAATAATTAAAAATTGGAAAAATTGACTAATAGAAGAATCGAATAACAGAAAAATCTAGAAATCGAAAAATCTAAAATTTAAAAAACGAAAAAATTAAAATATTGAAAAATTTTAAATCCAAAAATCTAAAATTTGAAAAACCGAAATTATGCAAAATCCCAAATGTGAAATATCAAAAAACTGATATATCGAAAAATTGAAAAATTCCAAGACTGAAAAATTGATAAATGGAAGAGCCGAAAAATCGAAAATTAAAAAATTGGAACATCGAAAATTGAAGAATTGAAAAACTGAAAGAGAGAGTCGAGTAGAGAGAAATCAAACATCGAGAAGTCGAAACTTGAAAATTGGGAAAATCGAAAGCTGAAATTGAAAAATGGAGAAATTGAACAATCGAAAAGTCAAAAAATCGAAAAAATTAAAAATTGAAGAAGTAAAAACCGAAAAATCAAAAATTTTAAATATCGAAAAATCGAAAAATGGGAAAATCGAAAACTTTGGAACGCCAAAAATTGATAAATCGAAAAATTGAAGAATCAAAACATTGAAAAATCCAAAAACGGAAAAATTGAAAAATTGCAAACCGAACTATCAGAAATTTTAAAAATCAAAAAACTGAAAAATTAAAATTTATAAATCGGAAAAATTGACAAAAAAATCGAAAAACATAAAAGTCAGCAAATCAATTTTTTTTTAAATGGAAAAACTAAAATATGGAAAATTTGAGAAATCTATAAATCTAGTAGAAACACTGAAAAATCCCATAACTGAAACATTGAAAAAATTGATTAATCGAAAATTTGGTTAATCGAGAAACAGGGAAATCGAAATCTTAGAAACGCCAAAAATTGAAAACTTTAAAATTCAACAAAATGAAGAACAAAAAAAATTGTAAAATCACAAAACTCAAATATCGGAAAATTGAGAAATCAAAAAATTGTTGTACAATTTTGATTTTTTCCCAAAAATCTGGATACCAAAGGTAAAAAAGGAGTCATAATCACACACCATTACTGTAGTGGGAATCATAAGAAAAATTTTGGTTAGCAGTCACGTATTACCCTTATGTTCCAACATAAATGGAGTCTTCAGAAAAGAAAGACGTCGAATTTTGTTTATTTATAACAATAAAACAGACTTTAATAAAAACGCATTTTATTTGTTCCCTTGATTTGGCTCTGGCTCCGTTTCTTTTATTTCATTCCAAGGCTGAGTTTTAGCCGTTCCAAAAATGATGAAAAGGAGCCCGCCGCAGAAGTAGACGCTCCCCCCAATTGTGTAAATAATAGTAGCCCCCGCAAGATTCTTATTCTAAAAAAAAAAACAACTACTACAAAGAATCTCAGCCGAGAAGAACGGTCTCTTACATAATGCGTAGTTATAGCCCCTGTGATTTTTGGCACGAAAATCCCGGTTGTCATCCCGATGAAGTTCATCACTCCAAAAACCGACCCCGCAAAATTGGGCGCCAAATCTTGCGGGTTTATAAAGTGACTGACCACAACAGCGCCATTGAAGAACTGGCACAGAATGAGAAGAGCGACGACTCCGACTTGGTTACACCCAGCGACGCGAATCATGAACAGACAAGCGGCGGGAATAAAGTGGGCTGAAATAAAAAAATAAACATAAAGATAAACAAATCAACACTCACAGAAAATTATGAAGAACTTTCTTAGGCGAGTCACCGACATGATTTCTTTTTTCAGCATCCAGTCCCCCAGGATACCGAACATCCCGCTGGCGGTCATTCTGGCGAGATAGGGAAGGGAAGCCAATCCGGCAGACTCCTTCAAGTTGAAACCTATCGTTTCGGAGAGGTACTTCGGAGTGTAGGTGAGGATGAGGTTCAAACCCCACAGGTTTCCGAACTGAGCGGCACAAACAGCCCAGAAGGGTATCGATGTGAGTATTTTCAAGTACGGGGCTACTGCCTGCAACGTTTTTAAGTCAAAAGATGAAAAGAATTGAAAAATCTAAAATTTGAAAATTAAAAAAGTTGACAAAAAAATTCAAGAACTGAAAAATCTAGGAATCGGAAAATCTAAATTTTAAAAAGTCGAAAAATTTCTATTGAATGTCTAAAATTAAAGAAATTCGAAATATTGAAAAATTCCAAAAATGAAATCAGATAAAGTGAAAGATCCCAAAATTAAAACATTTAAAAATTGAGAAATCGAAAAGTTGAAAAATTGAAAATTTTAAAACTCGAAAAATTAAAAAATCAAACCTCAGAACTCGAAAAATAGAAAAATTGGATCATCGAAAAATGTATTTTTTTTAAGTTTAATTAAAACAGCGAAAAATCCGAAAAATGACAATCGAGAAATTGAAAAATCCCCAAACTGAGTTGTCAAAATTTCAAAAATTAAAAAAAATTAAAAAATCGAAACAGAAAAATTGGAAAATCAAAAAACTAAAAAGTAGAAAAATCTAAAACTGAGAAGTCAAAATTCAAAAGGATGATACGTCAAAGGATTGAAGAATCTAAAATTTAAAAATTGGAAATATCGAAAAATCCTAAAACTGAAAGATCGGAAAATTGATAAATCGAAAAATCAAAAAACTGAAACATCGAAATATCGAGAAATCGAATATAATCGACAAACTGAAAAATCGAAAGATGTAAAATTTAAGAAATCAAAAAATTGGTACATCACAAAAACGAGAAATCGAAAAATTGGAAAATCGAAAAATTGGAAGATCGAAAAACCGAGAAATCGGAAAATTGAACTTTAACTAGTAAGTACCTAACAAAATTTAAATATCAAAAATTGAAAAATCCAAAAAACCAAGAAGTCAAAAAATCCAAAGATGGACACATCAAAAAATTGAAAAATTTAAAATAAAAAATTAGAACAATTGACAAATAAAAAGAACTGAAAAATTAAAAAATCCCAAATCTAAAACATTGAAAAGCCGAAATTATTTCTTTATTTTATTATTTAATTATTTAAAAAAATCGATGAATTGAAAAGTCGAAAAATTGAGAAATTAAATAAATAATAAAAAATTGATTAATCGTGAAATCGAAAACTTAAGGACGCCAAAAAATTAAAAATAGAAAACTTTTAAATTAGAAAAATTGAAGAATAAAAAAATTAAAAATAAGAACATTGAGAAATCGAAAAACTGAAAATCGAGAAATTGAAGAACTGAAAAACTGAGAAATTGAAGAATCATAAAACTAAAAAATTCCAAAACCGAAATATGGAAAAATTGAAAAAGCCCAAAACTAAAACATTCAAAAATTGAGAAATCGAAAAATAGAGAATTTAAAAACTCGAAAAACTGGAAATCAAACCTGAGAAATCGAGAAAATGAAAAATTGGATCATTGAAAAATTAAAAAATTGATAAACTGAGAAATCGAGAGTCGAGAAATCGAACACCGAAAAGTCGAGAATTGGAAAAATAAAAAACGCCAAAATTTGCAAAAATTGAAAAATCGAGAATTTTAAAAAATCGAAAAATTGAAAAATCAAAGAACTGAAATATCGAAAAGCCGAAAAATTGACAATTCGAAAAACTGAAGAAATGAAAAATCGAAAAACTGAAAAATTGAAAAATTAAAAACGGAAAGGTCGGGCAATCGAAACATCAAAAAGTGGAAAAAACTAAAATTTAAAAATACGAGAAATTAAAATATCTAAAACCTGAAAAAAAACGTAAGTTGAAAAATTCCCAAAATTGAAATGTTGAAAAATTGAGAAATCGAAAACATGAAAAATTAAGAAATCTATAAATCGAAAAATTTAAAATAGAAAAGTATAAAATTTAAAAAATTCGAAATATGGAAAAATTACAAAACTGAAATAAAGTAAAGTGAAAAATCCCAAAACTAAAATATTGAAAAATTTACAAATCGAAAACTCGAAAAATTAAAAAAATTTAAAATCAAAAAAATTGAAAAATGAGAAAAATTGACAAATAAAAAACTGGAAAAATGGAAAACTCTAGAAATCGAATTTAAAAAGTCGAAAAATTTAAAATCGAAAACTCTAAAAGTTAAAAAATCGAAATATTGAAAAATCCCAAAACTGAAATATCGATAAACCGAAGAATCCCAAAACTAAAACATTGATGAAAAATCGAAAAAAAAGTTAAAAAAATAAATAAAAATAAATAAAAAAAAAATAAACCGAGAAGTCGAACGAAACTGAAAAATCCCAAAACTAAAACATTGAAAAATTGAAAAACTGAGAAATCGAGAAATCGAGAAGTAGAGAAATCGAACATCAAAAAGTTGAGAAATAGGAAAATAAAAAATCGATGAATTTTAAAGTCGAACAATCGATTAATCGAAAAATAGAAAAATATAAAACTAAGGAACATCAAAGTTTGAAAGATTCAAAAAACGAAAATTTTAAAAATCGGAAAACTGAAGAATCGCAAAAATAAAAAGCTGAAAAATAGAAAAATTAAAAACCGAAAAATTAAAACTTTAAAAAATCCACAAGTTGAAAAATTCTCAAAATTGAAATGTTGAAAATTGAGAAATCGGAAAATCGAAATGTCGAAACATTTTAAAAATTGAAATATCTAAATATTTAAAAATCGTAAAATCGAAGTATAAATAATAAATTGTAAATTCGGAAAGTTGAAAAACTGAAAAATTAAAAAAATGAGACATCGAGAAATTAAAAAATTCTCAAATTTAGTACTTGAAAAATTGAAAAGCCGAAAAAATGAAAAATTAAGACATTGAAAAATTGATAGATCGAGAAGTCGAAAAATGGAAAATTTACAGCTCGAAAAATTAAAAAATCAAGCTTTTCAGAAATTGAAAAATTGGAATATCGAAAAATTGAAAAACTGAAAAATCGGGAAATTGAGAAATGGGAAAAAATCGATGAATTGAAAAGTCGAAAAATCAATTAATAGATAAATCGAAAACCTAGGGACACCAAAATTTGAAAAATCTAAAATTTAAAATCACAAAAATTGAAGAATAAAAATAATTGAAAAATCGCAAAACTGAAATATCGGAAAATTGAGAAATCAAAAAATTGAAAATCGAGAAATTGAAAAATTGAGTAACCGAAAAATTGAAAAATTGAAAAATTAAAAAATCTCAAAACTGAAATATGAAAAACTTGAAAATGCCCAAAACTAAAACATTCAAAAGTTGAGAAATCAAAAAATTGCAAATTTGAAAACTAGAAAAATTGGAAAATCAAACCTGAGAAATCGAAAAATTGAAAAATGGGAACATCGAGAAACAATAGAAAAATATAAAACTTGAAATTGAAAAACCCTCAAAATGAATATTCAAAAAATTGAAAAATCGAAAAATTGAATAACTGAAAAGCCGAAAAGTCGAACTATAGAAAAACCGACAAACTGAAAAATTGAAAATCGAAAAACTGAAAAATTCAAAAACTATAAACCGAAAAACTGAACTTAAAAAATTTTAAAAATGAAAAAATGAAAAAACCAGAGACTCATAAGTCGAAAAATCAACACATCAAATAATTGAAAAATCCAAAAATTAAAAATTTGAAAAATTGACTAATCGAAAAATCGAAGAACAGAAAAATCTAGAAATCGAAAAATCTAAAATTTAAAAAATGTAAAAATCGTAACTATGCAAAATCCCAAATGTGAAATATCAAAAAACTGATAAATCGAAAAATTGAAAAATTCCAAGACTGAAAAATTGATAAATAGAAGAGCCGAAAAATCGAAAAATTAAAAAATTGGAACATCGAAAATTGAAGAATTGAAAAACTGAAAGAGAGTGGAGTAGAGAGAAATCAAACATCGAAAAGTCGAAACTCGAAAATTGGGAAAATCGAAAACTTGGGAACGCCAAAAATTGATAAATCGAAAAATTGAAGAATCAAAACATTGAAAAATCCAAAAACTGAAAAATTCAAAAATTGCAAACCGAACTATCAGAAATTTTAAAAATCAAAAAACTGAAAAATATAAAACTGAGAAGGCCAAAAAGAAAGAGAAATCGAATCATCAAAAAATGGAAAAATTAAAATTTATAAATCGGAAAAATTGACAAAAAAATCGAAAAACATAAAAGTCAGCAAATCATTTTTTTTTTAATGGAAAAACTAAAATATCGAAAATTTGAGAAATCTATAAATCTAGTAGAAAAACTGAAAAATCCCATAACTGAAACATTAAAAAAATTGATGAATCGAAAATTTGGTTAATCGAGAAACAGAGAAATCGAAATCTTAGAAACGCCAAAAATTGAAAAATTTAAAATTCGACAAAATGAAGAACAAAAAAAATTGTAAAATCCCAAACTCAAATATCGGAAAATTGAGAAATCAAAAAATTGTTGTACAATTTTGATTTTTTCCCAAAAATCTGGATACCAAAGGTATAAAAGGAGTCATAATCACACACCATTATTGTAGTGGTAATGATCAAAAAAATTTTGGTTAGCAGTCACGTATTACCCTTATGGTTCCAACATAAATGGAGTCTTCAGAAAAGAAAAACGTCGAATTTTGTTTATTTATAACAATAAAAAAGATTTTAATAAAAAACTATTTTCAAGTACGGGGCTACTACCTGCAACGTTTTTAAGTCAAAAAATGAAAAGAATTGAAAAATCTAAAATTTGAAAATTAAAAAAGTTGACAAAAAAATTCAAGAACTGAAAAATCTAGGAATCGGAAAATCTAAATTTTAAAAAGTCGAAAAATTTCTATTGAATGTCTAAAATTAAAGAAATTCGAAATTGAAAATTTTAAAACTCGAAAAATTAAAAAATCAAACCTCAGAACTCGAAAAATAGAAAAATTGGAACATCGAAAAATGTAAGTTTTTTAAATTTTAATTAAAACAGCGAAAAATCCGAAAAATGACAATCGAGAAATTGAAAAATCCCCAAACTGAGTTGTCAAAATTTCAAAATTTAAAAAAAATTAAAAATCGAAACAGAAAAATTGATACGTCAAAGGATTGAAGAATCTAAAATTTAAAAATTGGAAATATCGAAAAATCCTAAAACTGAAATATCGGAAAATTGATAAATCGAAAAATCAAAAAACTGAAAAATGGAAAGATGTAAAATTTAAGAAATCAAAAAACTGGTACATCACAAAAACAAGAAATCGAAAAGTTGAAAGATCGGAAAACCGAGAAATCGGAAAATTGAAATTTAACTAGTAAGTACCTAACAAAATTTAAATATCAAAAATTGAAAAATCCAAAGATCGACACATCAAAAAATTGAAAAATGTAAAATAAAAAATTAGAACAATTGACAAATAAAAGAACTTTCAAATCTAAAAAAACATTGAAAAGCCGAAGTTATTTCATTATTTTATTATTTAATTTAAAAAAAAAATCGATGAATTGAAAAGTCGAAAAATTGAGAAATTAAATAAATAATAAAAAATTGATTAATCGTGAAATCGAAAAATCCCCAAAAAATAAAAAATTTAAAAACTTTGAATTATAAAAATTGAATTAGGTATAAAAAAAATGAAAAATCGGAACATTGAAAAATCGAAAAACTGAAAATCGAGAAATTGAAGAACTGAAAAGCTGAGAAATTGAAGAATTATAAAACTAAAAGATCCTAAAACTGAAATATGGAAAAATTGAAAAGGCCCAAACTAAAACATTCAAAAATTGAGAAATCGAGAAATTGAGAATTTAAAAACTCGAAAAACGGGAAATCAAACCTGAGAAATCGAGAAAATGAAAAATTGGATCATCGAAAAATTAAAAAATTGATAACCTGAGAAATCGAGAGTTGACAAATCGAACACCGAAAAGTCGAGAATTGAAAAAGTAAAAAATCGGAAAATCGATTATTCGATTAATCGAGAAATAGAAAAATATAAAACTTAGGAACGCCAAAATTTGAAAAATTGAAAAATCAAAAAACTAAAATATCAAAAAGCCTCGGGCAATCGAAACATCAAAAAATGGAAAAACCTAAAATTTAAAAATACGAGAAATTGAAATATCTAAAACTTGAGAAATCGAAAACTTGAAAAATCAACAAATCTATAAATCTAAAAATTTATAATTTTGAAAGGCGAATAATTTAAAATAGAAAAATATAATATTTAAAAAATTCGAACTATTGAAAAATTCCAAAACTGAAATAAAATAAACTGAAAAATCCCAAAACTAATATATTGAAAAATTTACAAATCGAAAACTCGAAAAATTAAAAATATTTAAAATAAAAAAATTTTAAATCAAAAACAGAGAAGTCGAAAAATCAAAAGAATGACACATCAAAGAATTGAAAAATTTAAAAATTAGATAAATTGACAAAAAATCAAAGAACTAAAAAATCTAGAAATCGAAATATCTAAATTTTAAAAAGTAGAAAAATATAAAAAAAGTCTAAAATTTAGAAAATCGAAATTTTGAAAAATCTCAAAACTGAAATATCGATAAATTGAAAAATCCCAAAACTAAAGCATTTAAACATTGAAAAATCGAAAAGTTGAAGAATGGAAAATTTTAAAATCTGAAAAATCGAGAAATGGAGAAGTAGAGAAATCGAACATCAAAAAGTCGAGAAATGGGAAAATAAAAAAATCGATGAGTTTTGTAGTCGCACAATCGATTGATTAATCGAAAAATAGAAAAATGTAAAACTAAGGAACGCCAAAGTTTGAAAAATTGAAAAAACGAAAATTTTAAAAATCGGAAAATTGAAGAATCGCCAAAATAAAAAATCGCACAATTGAAATATCGAAAAAATGAGAAACTGAAAAATTGAAGAATCAAAAAACTGAGAAATCAAAAGTTGAAAAGTCGAAAAGGCGAAAAATCACAAATTCGAATAATTGAAGAAATGAAAAATTAAAACGCTGAAATATTCAAAAATTAAAAACCGAAAAATCAAAAATTTTAAAAATCCATAAGATATAAATTGAAATATTGAAAAATCTTCAAACTAATAAATCACAAAATTAAAACATTGATAACTTGAGAGGTCGAAAAGTCGAAAAATGGAAAATTTAAAACTCGAAAAATTAAGAAATCAAATTTCAGAAATTGAAAAATTGAAGAATTGAAAAACTGAAAAATCGAGAAATCGGGAAATGAGAAGATGAAAAAATCGATGAATTGAAAAATCGAAAAATCAATTAATCGAGAAATCGAAAACCTAGTGACACCAAAAATTGAAAAATCGAAAAATTTAAACTCACAAAAATTAAAGAATAAAAATAATTGAAAAATCGCAAAACTGAAATATCGGAAAATTGAGAAATCAAAAAATTGATAAATCGAAAAATCAAAAAACTGAAACATCGAAATATCGAGAAATCGAATATAATCGACAAACTGAAAAATCGAAAGATGTAAAATTTAAGAAATCAAAAAACTGGTACATCACAAAAACGAGAAATCGAAAAATTGGAAAATCGAAAAGTTGGAAGTTCGATAAACCGAAAAATCGGAAAATTGAACTTTAACTAGTAAGTATCTAAATTTAAATATCAAAAATTGAAAAATTCAAAAAGCCAAGAAGTCAAAAAATCCAAAGATCGGCACATCAAAAAAATGAAAATTTAAAATAAAAAATTAGAACAATTGACAAATAAAAAGAACTGTCATTTTCTTTATTTTATTAATTATTTAAAAAAATCGATGAATTGAAAAGTCGAAAAATTGAGAAATTAAATAAATAATAAATAACTAATAAAAAATTGATTAATCCTGAAATCGAAAACTTATGAACGCCAAAAAATAAAAAATAGAAAAACTTCAAATTAGAAAAATTGAATAAAAAAATGAAAAACCGGAACATTGAGAAATCGAAAAACTGAAAATCGAGTAAATTGAAGCACTGAAAAACTGAGAAATTGAAGAATCATAAAATTAAAAAATCCCGAAAAATTGGATCATCGAAAAATTAAAAAATTGATAAACTGAGAAATCGAGAGTCGAGAAATCGATTACCGAAAAGTCGAGAATTGGAAAAATAAAAAATTGGAAAATCGATTAATCGATTAATCGAGAAATAGAAAAATATAAAACTTAGGAACGCCAAAATTTGAAAAATTGAAAAATTGAAAAATCAAAAAACTGAAATATCGAAAAACCGAATAATTGAAAATTAGAAAAATTGAAGAAATGAAAAATCGAAAAACTGAAAAATCAAGAAATCTATAAATCGAAAAATTTTAAATAGAAAAGTATAAAATTTAAAAAATTCGAAATATTGAAAAATTCCAAAACTGAAATAAGATAAACTGAAAAATCCCAAAACTAAACCATTGAAAAATTTACAAATCAAAAACTTAAAAAAAATTAAAATGAAAAAAATTTAAAATCTAAAACAGAGAAGTCGAAAAATCAAAAGAATGACAACTTAAAGAATTGAAAAATGAGAAAAATTGACAAATAAAAAACTGGAAGAGCGGAAAACTCTAGGAATCGAAAAATTTTAAATTTAAAATCTCGAAAAATTTAAAATCGAAAACTCTAAAATTTAAAAAATCGAAATATTGAACAATTGAGAAATCGAAAAGTTGAAAAATGGAAAATTTAAAAACTCGAAAAATTAAAAAATCAAACCACAGGAAATGAAAAATGGAAAAATTGAAAAATTGGAACATCGAAAAATGTAAAATTTAAGAAATCGAAAATCTGAAAAACCGAAAAAGTGAAAAATCAAAAAACAAGAAATCCAGAAATTAAAAACTCCCCAAACTGAATTCTGAAAATTTGAAAAATAAAAAAACAAAAAAATCGAAATATCGAAAAATTGGATAACTGAAAAGCCCAGAAAAATGGAAAATCTTTAATCAAGTAATTGAAATCTCGAGAGAGAAATCGAAACATGAAAAAATCGAGAAATCGAAAAATTGAAAAATCGGAAGAAACGTTAAAAATCTTAAATAAAAAAAGAAAAAAATATAAACCGAGAAAATATAAATATTGAAAAATCTCAAAACTGAAATATCGGTGAACTGAAAAATCCAAAACTAAAGCATTTCAAAAAATCGAAAAATCGAAAAGTCGGAGAATGGAAAATTTGAAAAACTGGGAAATCGAGAAATCGAGAAGTAGAGAAATCGAACATCAAAAAATTGAGAAACGGGAAAATAAAAAAATCGATGAATCGAAAAGTCGAACAATCGATTAATCGAAAAATAGAAAATTATAAAACTGAGAAACGCCAGTTTGAAAAATTGAAAAAACGAAAATTTTAAAAATCGGAAAACTGAAGAATCGCAAAAATAAAAAATCGAAATATCTAAAAATTGAGAAATTGAAAAATTAAAGAACCAAAAAACTCAAATATCGAAAAACTGAGGAATCAAAAGTTAAAAAATTCCCAAAATTGAAATGTTGAAAAACTGAGAAATCTAGAAATCGAAAAGTCCAAACATTTTAAAAATTGAAATATCTAAATATTTAAAAATCGGAAAATCGAAGCATAAATAATAAATTGTAAATTCGGGAAGTTGAAATACTGAAAAATCAAAAAAATGAGAAATCGAAAAATTGAAAAATTCGCAAATTCATTATTCGAAAAATTGAAACATCGAAAAATTAAAGAACTGAAAAGCCGAAAAGAGAAATTGAAAAATTGAAAATCGAATAAATGAAAAATTACAAAATTAAAACATTGAAAAATTGATAGATCGAAAAGTCGAAACATGAAAATTTAAAACTCGAAAAATTAAAAAATCAAGCTTTTTAGAAATTGAAAAATTGGAACATCGAAAAATTGAAAAATTGAAAAACTGAAAAATCGAGAAATCGAGAAATGGAAAAATGAAAAAATCGATGAATTTAAAAGTCTAAAAATCAGTTAATCGAGAAATCGAAAACCTAGGGTCACCAAAAATTTAAAATCACAAAAATTGAAGAATAAAAATAATAGAAAAATCCCAAAACTGAAATATGGGAAAATTGAGAAATCAAAAAACTGAAAAACGAGAAATTGAAAAATTGAGTAACCGAAAAATTGTAAAATCGAAAAATTAAAAAATCTCAAAACTGAAATATGAAAAACTTGAAAATGCCCAAAACTAAAACATTCAAAAGTTGAGAAATCGAAAAATTGCAAATTTAAAAACTAGAAAAATTGGAAAATCAAACCTGAGAAATCGAAAAACTGAAAAATGGGAACATCGAGATACTATAAAAAAATATAAACCTTAGGAAGGCCAAACTTTGAAAAATTGAAAAACAAACATTTTAAAAATCGAAAAATTAAAGAAGCTCGAAAATGAAAAATCACAAAACTGAAATATTGGAAAATTGAAAAATTGAAAAATTGAAATATCGGAAAATTGAAAAATTCAAAAACTATAAACCGAAAAACTGAAACTTAAAAAAATTTAAAAATGCAAACATGGAAAAACCAGAAACCCAGAAGTCGAAAAATGTATACATCGACACATCAAAAAAAAGAAAGTTCTAAAATTAAAAATTTGAAAAATTGACTAATATAAAAATCGAAGAACAGAAAAATCTAGAAATCGAAAAATTCAAAATATAAAAAATGAAAAAATTAAAATATTGAAAAATTTTAAATCGAAACACCTAAAATTGAAAAATCGTAATTATGCAAAATCCCAAATGTGAAATATCAAAAAACTGATAAATCAGAAAATTGAAAAATTTCAAGACTGAAAAATTGATAAAGGGAAGAGCCGAAAAATCGAAAAATTAAAAAATTGGAACATCGAAAATTGAAGAATTGAAAAACTGAAAGCGACTCTCTTTCAGTTTTTCAATTCTTCAATTTTAGATTTTAGTAGAGAGAAATCAAACATCGAAAAGTCGAAACTCGAAAATTGGGAAAATCGAAATCTGATATTGAAAAATGGAGAAATTGAACAATCGAAAAGCCAAAAAATCGAAAAAATTCAAAATTGAAAAAGTAAAAACCGAAAAATAAAAAATTTTAAATATCGAAAAATCGAAAAATGGGAAAATAGAAAACTTTGGAACGCCAAAAATTGATAAATCGAAAAATTGAAGAATCAAAACATTGAAAAGTCCAAAAACTGCAAAACTGAAAAATTGCAAACCGAACTATCAAAAATTTGAAAAATCAAAAAACTGAAAAGTGTAAAACTGATAAGGCCAAAAACGAAAGATCGAGAAATCGAAACATCAAAAAATGGAAAAATTAAAATGTATAATTCGAAAAAATTGACATAAAAAAAATCGAAAAACATAAAAGTCCGGAAATCAAAAAATCTAGAATTTAAGAATTGAAAAAGCTAAAATATCGGAAATTTGAGAAACCTAGTAGATAAACTGAAAAATTCCATAACTGAAACATTGAAAAAATTGAGAAATCGAAAATTCGAAAAATGGAACATCGAAAAAATTGATGGATCGAAAAGTCTAGAAACCGAAAATTTGGTTAATCGAGAAGCAGAGAACTCGAAAACTTAGAAACGCCAAAAATTGAAAAATTTAAAATTCGATAAAATGAAGAACAAAAAAAATGAAAAATCATAAAACTCAAATATCGGAAAATTGAAAAATCGAAAAATTGAATAACTGAAAAGCCGAAAAGTCGAACATAGAAAAACCGACAAACTGAAAAATTGAAAAAGTAAAAACCGAAAAATCAAAAATTTTAAATATCGAAAAATCTAAAAATTGGAAAACCGAAAACTTTGGAACGCCAAAAATTGATAAATCGAAAAATTGAAGAATCAAAACATTGAAAAATCGCAAAACTGAAATATCGGAAAAATGAGAAATTGAACATTCGAATAGCCTCAAAATTAAAAATTAGAAAAACTGAAAAATCCAAAAATTAAAAAATTGCAAACTAAACTACCAAAAATTTTAAAAATCAAAAAACTGAAAAGTGTAAAACTGAGAAGGCCAAAAACGAAAGATCGAGTAATCGAAACATCAAAAAATGGAAAAATTAAAATTTATAATTCGAAAAAATTGACAAAAAAAATCGAAAAACGTAAAGTCCGGAAATCAAAAAATCTAGAATTTAAGAATTGAAAAAGCTAAAATATCGGAAATTTGGGAAACCTAGTAGATAAACTGAAAAATTCCATAACTGGAACATTGAAAAAACTGAGAAATCGAAAATTCGAAAAATGGAACATCGAAAAAATTGATGGATCGAAAACTCTAGAAACCGAAAATTTGGTTAATCGAGAAACAGAGAACTCGAAAACTTAGAAACGCCAAAGTTGAAAAATTTGAAATTCGATAAAATGAAGAACAAAAAAATTGAAAAATCATAAAACTCAAATATCGGAAAATTGAGAAATCAAAAAATTGTTGTACTAAAAGTTTTTCCCAAAAGTTTGGATACCAAAAGTGAAAAAGGAGTCATAACCACACACGATTGTTAGTGGGGATGAACAGAAAAATTTTGGTTAGCATAATTAACATAAATGGAGTCTTCAGAAAAGAAGGAAAGACGTCGAATTTTGTTTATTTCTAAAAATAAAACAGACTTTAATAAAAACGCATTTTATTTGTTCCCTTGATTTGGCTCTGGCTCCGTTTCTTTTATTTCATTCCAAGGCTGAGTTTTAGCCGTTCCAAAAATGATGAAAAGGAGCCCGCCGCAGAAGTAGACGCTCCCCCCAATTGTGTAAATAATAGTAGCTCCCGCAAGATTCTTATTCTGAAAAAAAAAAAACAACTACAAAGAATTTCAGCCAAGAAGAAAATCTCTTACATAATGCGTAGTTATAGCCCCTGTGATTTTTGGCACGAAAATACCGGTTGTCATACCGATGAAGTTCATCACTCCAAAAACCGACCCCGCGAAGTTGGGTGCCAAATCTTGCGGGTTTATAAAGTGACTGACCACAACAGCGCCATTGAAGAACTGGCACAGAATGAGAAGAGCGACGACCCCGACTTGGTTACACCCAGCGACGCGAATCATGAACAGACAAGCGGCGGGAATAAAGTGGGCTGAAATAAAAAAATAAACATAAAGATAAACAAATCAACACTCACAGAAAATTATGAAGAACTTTCTTAGGCGAGTCACCGACATGATTTCTTTTTTCAGCATCCAGTCCCCCAGGATACCGAACATCCCGCTGGCGGTCATTCTAGCGAGATAGGGAAGGGAAGCTAATCCGGCAGACTCCTTCAAGTTGAAACCTATCGTTTCGGAGAGGTACTTCGGAGTGTAGGTGAGGATGAGGTTCAAACCCCACAGGTTTCCGAACTGAGCGGCACAAACAGCCCAGAAGGGTATCGACGTCAGTATTTTCAAGTACGGGGCTACTGCCTGCAACGTTTTTAAGTCAAAAAATGAAAAGAATTGAAAAATCTAAAATTTGAAAATTAAAAAAGTTGACAAAAACATTCAAGAACTGAAAAATCTAGGAATCGGAAAATCTAAATTTTAAAAAGTCGAAAAATTTCTATTAGTGTCTAAAATTAAAGAAATTCGAAATATTGAAAAATTCCAAAAATGAAATCAGATAAACTGAAAGATCCCAAAACTAAAACATTGAAAAATTGAGAAATCGAAAAATTAAAAAATTAAACCTCATAAATCGAAAAATAGAAAAACAGAAAAATTGGAACATCGAAAAATGTAAAAATTTTTTAATTTTAATTAATAAAGTAAAAAATCAGAAAAATGACAATCGAGAAATTGAAAAATCTCCAAACTGAGTTCTCAAAATTTGAAAAATAAAAAAATTAAAAAATCGAAACAAAAATTGGAAAATGGAAAAGCTGAAAAGTCGAAAAATCGAAAAACCTTGAAATCAAGAAATTGAAACAGAGAGAGAAATCGAAACATGAAAAAATAGAAAAATCTAAAATCAGAAATTTTAAATTAAAAAAAATGAAAAATCCAAAACTGTGAAGTCAAAATTCAAAAGGATGATACGTCAAAGGATTGAGGAATCTAAAAATTGGAAATATTGAAAAATCCTAAAATTGAAATATTAGAAAATTGATAAATCGAAAAATCAAAAAACTGAAACATCAAAATATCGAGAAATCGAATATAATCGACAAACATGAAAAAATTGAGAAATCCAAAAATTGAAAAACCGAAAGAAAAGTTAAAAAATTTTAAATAAAAGAAAATAAAAATCTATAAACCGAGAAGTCGAAAAATCAAAAGAATGGCACATCGAAGAATTGAAAAATTTTAAAATCAGAAAAATGGACAAATTAAAAATCAAAGAACTAAAAAATCTAAAAATCGGAAGATCTAAATTTTAAAAAGTTCTTTGATGTGTCATTCATTTGATTTTTCGAGTCTTCTGTTTTTGATTTAAAATTTTTTTATTTTAAATTTTTCTAATTTTTGAGTTTTCGATTTGTAAATTTTTCAATATTTTAGTTTTGGGATTTTTCAGTTTATTTTATTTCAGTTTTGGAATTTTTCAATATTTCCAATTTTTTAAATTTTATATTTTTCTATTTTAAATTTTTCGACTTTCTAGATTATAAATTTTTAGATTTATAGATTTGTTGATTTTTCAAGTTTCCGATTTCTCAATTTTTCAACATTTCAATTTTGGGAATTTTTCAACTTACGTTTTTTTTTCAAGTTTTAGAAATTTCAATTTCTCGTATTTTTAAATTTTAGGTTTTTCCATTTTTGGATGTTTCGATTGCCCGAGGCTTTTTGATATTTCAGTTTTTTGATTTTTCAATTTTTCAAATTTTGGTTTTATATTTTTCTATTTCTCGATTAATCGATTTTCCGATTTTTTATTTTTCCAATTCTCGACTTTTCGGTGTTCGATTTGTCGACTCTCGATTTCTCAGGTTATCAATTTTTTAATTTTTCAATGATCCAATTTTTCATTTTCTCGATTTCTCAGGTTTGATTTCCCGTTTTTCGAGTTTTTAAATTCAATTTCTCAGTTTTCAGTTTTTCGATTTCTCAATGTTCCGATTTTTCATTTTTTTTATTCATCAATTTTTCTAATTTGAAGTTTTTCTATTTTTTATGTTTTGGCGTCCTTAAGTTTTCGATTTCAGGATTAATCATTTTTTTTATTTATTTATTTATTTAATTTTGTTGGAGATACACATCTAAGTGTGCAATGCTGGTTGCATACCGAACGTCTGTCATATTTACATTTACGTTTTAACTGTCGTAATTACTGTCACTTATTGTAATCGAAATAAAGCCTCGTGTGTGTATATAGCATCAAAGTATTTTATCTTCCACGAATAAATCCATCAAATTTCTCGATTTTTCGACTTTTCAATCCATCGATTTTTTTAAATAATTAAATAATAAAATAAAGAAAATTTCGGCTTTTCAATGTTTTAGATTTGGGATTTTTCAATTTGTCTGTTCTTTTTATTTGTCAATTGTTCTAATTTTTTTATTTAAATTTTTCAATTTTTAATGTGTCGATCTTTGGATTTTTCGACTTCTTGGTTTTTTGGATTTTTCGATTTTTGATATTTAAATTTTGTTAGGTACTTTTCAATTATTCAATTGTTTAATTTCAAGTTTTTTCGATTTTTCTATTTTCCGATTTATCGACTAGCTAAAATTCAATTTTCCGATTTCTCGGTTTTTCGATCTTCCAACTTTTTGATTTTCCAATTTTTCGAATTCTCGTTTTTGTGATGTACCAGTTTTTTGATTTCTTAAATTTTACATCTTTCGATTTTTCAGTTTGTCGATTATATTCGATTTCTCGATATTTCGATGTTTCAGTTTTTTGATTTTTCGATTTATCAATTTTCCGATATTTCAGTTTTAGGATTTTTCGATATTTCCAATTTTTAAGTTTTAGATTCTTCAATCCTTTGACGTATCATTCTTTTGAATTTTGACTTCACTTGGATTTTTCTTTTTTTTTATTTTAAAATTTTCGATTTTAGATTTTTTCATGTTTCGATTTCTCTGTGTTTCAATTTCTTGATTTCAAGGTTTTTCGATTTTTCTACTTTTTAGCTTTTCGATTTTCCAATTTTTCTGTTTCGATTTTTTGATTTTTTTTAATTTTTGAAATTTTGACAACTCAGTTTGAGGATTTTTCAATTTCTCGATTGTCATTTTTCGGATTTTTCGCTGTTTTAATTAAAATTTAAAAAAATTACATTTTTCGATGTTCCAATTTTTCTATTTTTCGAGTTCTGAGGTTTGATTTTTTAATTTTTCGAGTTTTAAACTTTTCAATTTTTCAACTTTTCGATTTCTCAATTTTTAAATGTTTTAATTTTGGGATCTTTCAGTTTATCTGATTTTATTTTTGGAATTTTTCAATTTTTCAATGTTTTAATTTTTCATTTTTTCGATTTTCAATTTTTCAACTTCTCCGTTTTATATAATTCGACTTTTCGGCTTTTCAGTTCTCTAATTTTTCGACTTTTCAATTTTTCGAGTACTGAATTTGAAAATTTTTCAATTTCTTGATTTCTCATTTTTTTGATTTTTCAGTTTTTCAACTTCCCGAATTTACAATTTATTATTTATGCTTCGATTTTCCGATTTTTAAATATTTAGATATTTCAATTTTTAAAATTTCGATTTTTCGATTTCTCAATTTTTCAACATTTCAATTTTGAGAATTTTTCAACTTGTGGATTTTTTAAATTTTTGATTTTTCGGTTTTTAATTTTTCCAGTTTTCAGCTTTTTATTTTTTCGATTCTTCAGTTTTCCGGTTTTTAAAATTTTCATTTTTTCAATTTTTCAAACTTTGGTGTTCCTTAGTTTTATATTTTTCTATTTTTCGATTAATCGATTGTTCGACTTTAAAATTCATCGATTTTTTTTATTTTCCCATTTCTCGACTTTTTGATGTTCGATTTCTCGATTTCTCAGTTTTTCAATTTTTTTTATTTCTGAGGTTTGATTTTTTAAATTTTCGAGTTCTCAAATTTTCCATTCTTCGACTTTTCGATTTTTCAATTTTTAAATGCTTTAATTTTGGGATTTTTCAGTTTATCGATATTTCAGTTTTGAGATTTTTCAATATTTCATTGGAAAATCGAAAAGTCGAAGAATGGGAAATTTTAAAATCTGAAAAATCGAGAAATGGAGAAGTAGAGAAATCGAACATCAAAAAGTCGAGAAATGGGAAAATAAAAAAATCGATGAATTTTGTAGTCGCACAATCGATTGATTAATCGAAAAATAGAAAAATATAAAACTAAGGAACGCCAAAGTTTGAAAAATTGAAAAAACCAAAATTTTAAAAATCGGAAAATTGAAGAATCGCAAAAATAAAAAATCGCACAATTGAAATATCGAAAAATTGAGAAACTGAAAAATTGAAGAATCAAAAAACTGAGAAATCAAAAGTTGAAAAGTCGAACAGACGAAAAATCAAAAATTCGAAGAACTGAAGAAATGAAAAATTAAAACGCTGAAAAATTCAAAAATTAAAACCGAAAAATCAAAAATTTTAAAAATCCATAAGATATAAATTGAAATATTGAAAAATCTTCAAACTAATAAATCACAAAATTAAAACATTGAAAACTTGAGAGGTCGAAAAGTCGAAAAATGTAAAATTTAAAACTCGAAAAATTAAAAAATCAAATTTCAGAAATTGAAAAATTGAAGAATTGAAAAACTGAAAAATCGAGAAATCGGGAAATGGGAAAATGAAAAAATCGATGAATTGAAAAGCCGAAAAATCAATTTTCGAGAAATCGAAAACCTATGGACACCAAAAATTGAAAAATCGAAAAATTTAAACTCACAAAAATTAAAGAATAAAAATAATTGAAAAATCGCAAAACTGAAATATCGGAAAATTGAGAAATCAAAAAATTGATAAATCGAAAAATCAAAAAACTGAAACATCGAAATATCGAGAAATCGAATATAATCGACAAACTGAAAAATCGAAAGATGTAAAATTTAAAAAATCAAAAAACTGGTACATCACAAAAACGAGAAATCGAAAAATTGGAAAATCGAAAAGTTGGAAGTTCGATAAACCGAAAAATCGGAAAATTGAACTTTAACTAGTAAGTATCTAAATTTAAATATCAAAAATTGAAAAATTCAAAAAGCCAAGAAGTCGAAAAATCCAAAGATCGGCACATCAAAAAAATGAAAATTTAAAATAAAAAATTAGAACAATTGACAAATAAAAAGAACTGTAATTTTCTTTATTTTATTAATTATTTAAAAAATTCGATGAATTGAAAAGTCGAAAAATTGAGAAATTAAATAAATAATAAATAACTAATAAAAAATTGATTAATCCTGAAATCGAAAACTTATGAACGACAAAAAATAAAAAATAGAAAAACTTCAAATTAGAAAAATTGAATAAAAAAATGA